TTTATTGTCACTAAAACCTAATAAATAAAAATAAAAACTGGTCAAAAATTAGAAAGTTACATTTACAAATTACAAGATTCACTGGCAATTAAACATACAAAAATACATAACAATATATCTATAATTCTACTTCATTATGAGGTGCTGCTGTCTTATTTTAAGGCAGTGTTTATTAAATTGTGACGTATTGATCTGTGTACTAGGAAGAATCATTATAGAAATAAACTCACTATAAACTGACAAGTTACTGAAAATATTTATGTGTTTGGTCGTATCTTCAACTAGATAATTTTTGTTGTTGTTCATGCTTTGGACATGACATTATTAGATGGAATTCATCTTCAATTACCCTTGTATTACATAGGTCACATGTTCTCTTTTAATTGTTTTTTTTTTTTGGTTTTGTGTGCTGACCAGATTCAATTTATAAATTGTGATTCTCTAAATTTACAATATTGTCAATGTCTGTTATGTATTTTTTGAATGAATGAATGAATGAATGAAGTTTAATTCACTATAAACATATATACATATAATATTATACAAATAAATGTGATATATAAACAAATGAGTAAATAAAATTATGTAAATAAGTGTATAATTTGAATTTTAAATATATATATTTTTTAGATATTTATATAAATTGTTTATAGTGAGGATCATGAAAATAGTTCCCTAGAACTAGTCTAGTCCATGACCCTTTGTAAAGAATGAACAAAATAAACAGTAAATAATAATATTAATAAGTCATATACAGGTACATTGTTGAATAGATTCAAAGTCTTAAATTAACAAAAGAGATGAAAGAAAATAAACTGATTGAAGCATTTTTGTCAATTACTTGGAGAAAAACTTAATCATGCATGTATAAGACATGGGTATGAAAGTGTATGATAATCGATGAAGATCTCACAAGAATGGAAGAAGTCACATGAAAAGTCAAGATGATCATAAAATCACAAGACTAACAATAGAAACCATGCATTTTGATAGCAATGTGAAGATACGCTTCACATTGTTTTAATACAAGCGTCACTCGTTTGCAGAAATTCTAATGCAAACTAGTGAGTCTAAAAAATCTTATTAGATTTCTTTCCATTTATTAATTGAACACTACCTGACAAATTGAATTTAATATATTATCACATATTTTAATTTAATTTTACATAAGGCAGTCCTTAGGTTTATACCCAAATTTTAGGCTTGACTAAATTATAATGTGAAAACAAACCTAAATAATTTAGGCCTGTCTAAATAAGTCAAGGCACGAAAAGGGAGCCAAGCTATTTTTAATCCTTTGCTACATGCATATCAACCAACTTTATGATAATCTTGCATCGTCCCTAGTAATGAACGACTAATGAATCATCAGATAACAACATTTATAATTTATTGTCTTTTTTTTACTCCCTTAAATTAGTATAAATTGTTACCTTCAAGTATATCAACTGAAGAATATATTGCAGCCGATTTATTTAGACGTATCACAACCCGCCCATCAATGGAGTCCTCATTTGATACCGGCATCCTGTGATCTTATTGTGTGTATTAATGTTATACATATCTCAGCCATCACCACCACATCAGTAAGTATGGTTCTACTGTAATCATGTGTGTATTAATGTCTTACTTAAATATTATATTATATTTCCAATATGCAAATGAGCGAAAGGCAGCATAATCTAATCAGTTTATTTTGAGGTTCATGTATTGTTAATTGAAATTTTTTTTTTTGGAACTGTGAATCTATTACCACCGTAGTTTGAGTTGGTTATCAACTGGCCTGTATTTTCACTGATGATTTGCATATTTTTATCAGTAATTACTATACAGTATGGGAACATAATAATAGAATCTCATGGCCTACGACTGACATTTGTGACATATGGAAAGTATTTACTTGTGATAGTGTGTAATTGGTTGCATGAAATTACAGTCACCAAGATACACTGCAACAGTCTTCAATACCTTACAAACGCCATGGCTTTTTGTCATAAATATATCATCTATTCAAATGAACTTGACACTAATAAGAGGAAAATGTTGACAAAATTTAGAATTAGTAACCATAACTTAGCATTAGAGGAAGGCAGATATTCATTTCCTAAGAAACCTATAAACAAAAGAATATGCAATAACTGTGACACAAATTCAATTGAAGATGAAGAACATTTTCTATTGAATTGCCCAAAATATAACACACACACAAAAAACTTCATCCAAAAAATGATGACGCTACTTTCATCCAACAAAAAAAATATACAGTTCACATATATACTCGCAAGCAAAGATCCTGGCGTAATTAAAGAACTTGCCAATTATATTTACACAACAAAAAGATTTATTTAACATTTAAATATTAGTTACGCTCTTGTTTTTTATAATATTTTTACATATATCTTGTTATTATTTTAAAACTCTTTTTTGCTGTACTTATCCTATGTAAATCTTTTTACACAGAGGCAATAATGTTATTTTTATTATTATTATTATTAATATTATTATTAAGCTCTACTAATTATGTTCTTACATGTATGTGAAAATGACACACACACGGAAAACATGTTATTGTTCAGTCTACACATATATATGTATGTATTTATTTCACAGGGTTTAATAAAAGGTGCGGGCACTGTGTTAAAAAGCCATGGATTGTTAGTAATGTATGGGGTAGGTAAAATTTATGTATAAAATCCTAACCCATTTACTTCCCTCCCATGCCCTGCCCTCTCATTCCATGCAATTTTAGTATCCTTAGAACTTCCCATTTTCTTTCTTATTATTATTTTTTCTATTTTCCTCTCCCCCTTTATTTCTCCATTCGTTAAATCTTCTAACTGTTACTATAGTAACCTAATATCTGACATTCTGTGTATTTCTTATTATGTTTTAGCCATATAAAGTACATGGTATTATAACTCCACACAGCAATGTAGAGTTTGATAAGCAGCTCAAAATAAGGTATACATGTTACATCAATTATTTTTCGTTTAATCGATCATGTATGTACATTAACCAATATTTGCATGATATATATTATTAAATAACATTATCATTTTATTTTTAAGAAATCCAGAGTGGGGTCTTCGAGATATAGATTATCTTATTGAAGTAGCTGAACAAAATGGAATGATACTAGAAGCAATGGTATGAATTTACTATATTTAAAATATTAAAATGCTGTCATTGAAAGAAAAAGGTTAAGTGGTTGGTCCAGTTTGAATCAAGTCTACAAACAGGGGGAGGGACTATTATTTCAGGACCTACATTGACCAATTTCTTTTACGTATCCAGTTTGTTTTTGAGTTGATCAAATATGGCCGATGTGCAACCATTTTTTGGATGTAAAATAAAATGTTTATACTTGACCATGTGTAAAACTGGTTCGGTGACTGTGCTACTTTCAATAAAACTTACTATGATGAACTATGATGACAGTACGTATTGGTTTGCAAGTCATGATATTTTAATTTTAAATGGCTGACTGGCAGCCATTTTTTTTCTACCATGTACAATTGCACATGTACAATTATCTGTTATGTTGAAAGGTGGTAAACAGACACTATATCACAAGATACATATGCTATTCATTTTGTTTTGTGGTCTGAATTTGGTTGACTGGTGGTCATTTTCGAGACTATCACCGATATAATCATACTAATGATGAATTTTGTAGCGTGTTCTGCTGTTAAAACTTTAAACATTTCAGGCTGCTTGACTCATTCGTTAATTGTTACAATATCTGTCTCTTGCTGTGCTACATCATTTGTTAAAATCGTCATTGATGTTATTGGTTGCCATAGTTACATACTGTTTTCATTTTCTTATATTTTATATTCAAAATCCTATGCTTAGTGGTATTTCTAAGACAACTGCCTTGTGAATATTTTCTTATAATGTCTAATAAGCTTTATTTTAACTACTTCTTTCAACCTCTCAGTGTCGCTGATAACATTTTGTTATTTCTCTTTGCAGCATGACATGCCAGCCAACAATAAAACAATTGTTTTTCGTAAAATCAGCTAGCAAACTTCGCAGTCCTATCCAGCTGCACTGCCACATTGTGCCTCGTGATAAGTGCCTACATAAGATGTATTTTGTGTTGGAAAGCAATAGTGTACTACAGCTGCAATGTGTGTTTGAAGCACTTACTGTCATACTGCCCTCTATGGCAGATGGCAGAACATTATCTGGACACTGGCAATGCTGTCTGTATTTGTGTTTTTAAGTGGATCTATTGAATAATGTATTATTTTTAGAATGGATGGTTCGATTCATATTGTGTGTGTTTTGTATCTATTGATTTATCAGGTAATTTAATTATGAAGTCTTTTTTTTCTGTATCATGCTTTATGGTAATTTGTCGTTCTTTGCATATATATGATAAAGCCAAGAGTACATGACCTCTTCTGTGATATAAAGTCCGACCACAGATGTTATATCTAACTTAAAGGGCGGTGGTCGTCCCGCAGCATCCTGTTTGAAATGGAACTCATAGTGATGTACAAAGCACATGCACATTGTTTGTTTACATGAAATTCGAACACACGATGTGCATTGATCATCGACCTTTAATATCTATTGCTCATAACGTCTTTAGATATATATTATGTTTGAGGAAGATTTTCATACTTTCAGGGAGTTCTGCTTAAATTTCTTTTCGGGAAAAGTGCACCACGTACCTAATTTCAAGTACAATATTCTATGATTTACTATGCCATGCGTGAATGTAGTACAAGTGTACATGAGTGATATACCTGGAAGTATTTATGAAAACAAAAAGATTTGACTTGATCTAAGTTGGGTCAGATTTGGAAACAGGACATAATAAATTTGATTGAGTTGACCTTGGTTATTCCTACTTGTGCATGTTAAATTATTGCACACTGATGCACATAGAAAATCTCATACTAAACCACAAATCTAAGTCACTTGGATTATGAGATATATAGTAATTCAATTTCCATATATGGTAATTGTGGGAATGATGTAAACATTTAATTGCCATATATGGTAATTGTGGGACTGATGTAAACAATGAGTTGTCATATATGGTAATTGTAGGAATGATGTAAACAATGAATTGCCATATATGGTAATTGTGGGACTGATGTAAACAATGAGTTGTCATATATGGTAATTGTAGGAATGATGTAAACAATGAATTGCCATATATGGTAATTGTGGGACTGATGTAAACAATAAATTGACATATATGGTAATTGTGGGACTGATGTAAACCTTGAATTGCCATATATGGTAATTGTAGGAATGATGTAAACAATGAATTGTCATATATAATTCTTATTCATTGGATTTAGTTTCCTCATGAATGGACAGGGTTAAATGACATCACAGTCCCCCTAGTTATATGTTTACTCGCCCCTAAGTTAATTATTTACAATTTCTGCATATATACTGTAAAACATGTTGAAAAAGCGGCATGCAATTTTAGCGAATTGTGGTAAAATGACGTAATAGCGAAATGTTGATTTGGCGAATCTCTCTTGGCATTGTTGATTTCTTTGCTTGGTGGCCATTTTGAATTGATAATAAAGTCATTAGCGACATCTTGAATTAGCGAATCAGTTCTCTCGCTAAATTCGCAAAAAAGACAGTACTTCAAATAACCTAATTTAACTCTTCGTTGTTTTTTTACCGATTTTTAATGTATATGTCTGCTTGAATAATTATGTTTAACACTTTGAGTGCCACAAATAAATTTTTGAACTAAATAGACATAATTTTCTATAATCTACCGTTATTGATAAAAAATTATGAAAACAATCTGTCAAAGATGTAACATTCTATTCTGTGAATGGCGACGAAAATTGACTTAGGCTCTCAAAGAGTTAAAAATTGTACAAATCAGGAAAATGGAATCTATTTATTTGTTTCTGTATTGTAAATTGTTATTACCTGAGATTTTCACAAAAAATTGTTGTCTGTATGACTCCAGTAATATTTTCAATGTGACTAAAGTAATAATTTCTTGGTGACTCTTGTAGTATTTTTACTGCTATAAAATTTTATTTTATTTTTGCCAAATTAATGAGAATTTGTCACAAAATGATAGAACTTGTATGTTGACTTTAAAGTTTGTTATTACACGCATATGACCTTCTTTCAGGAAAGGTCCCCTAGCTAAATGTTCATAATCACCCCTAATTTATATTAACTATTTGTTGATCATACCAGCTTTGTTCAGTCAAACAACCTGTTGATTATTCTCTGAATGATCACTAGATGGCGCCATACACACAAACCAGTGGAGCAGGATTCCACTGCTATAATTTATTTCATGTCGTGAAATTTCGTCAGTTTATCTGTGTTTCTGAAAACGTTTCACTATTGTATGTTTATGATAAAACAATTTTAACAATTGTTGTCATGGTTACGTGATTTATTAAAATCATAATCTTGTTTTACAAGATTACCCAGAAATAGATCTGTTGTGATTTTGTTCATGATTTGAATGATGATGATGATTGTTGTTGTTGTTGTTGTTGATGTGACAACTACAACTTTGTAGTGTGTTGTCCGGGAGAAGATGATGGTGAGAGGAGGCACTTGGTCTTTGGGGGTGCATAAATATGGGTAAACTTAGTGTAGTATGACAACCATTGATTATTATTATTATTAATGATAAATTACATTGTTACTATTCTTCCTTTTTCACCCAAAATACCGTCAATAAATGTAAAAATGTAGTAAGTTTGAATTATTTAAATGTGATATAAATGAAATTGAATGGATTAACTAAATTAAAGCAGCCTGGTATAGACCATATCGCGTTTTAATAAAAATAAAAATTAATGGTTGATACACGAGCTAACGGTCCTTGAATTGGCCGACCCTTAGTTTAACAAGCAACCTGGTCGACGTAGCAGGGCATTTTGTCAATTAAAATCTCACCAAGAAACTTCACGGACATAGTTCCGAATGTTTAGAAACCATTGTCATTTGTAATCCTCCTGAAAGAGAAACATCATAATGATTTAAATTCATGAATTGAATTCATACTATATAAAGCTTCGCTCAATCGGCGTTCTGTGTGAGGATGTGCATAATATTTATTTTTGTTGTGTATTGGTCTATTTTATCGTAACATGACGCCTCCCCGCAATGCCTTCTGGTCGAATAGGCGTGGTGTCAAAATAAAACGTGGCGATACGTTGACCGGGAAAATTATTTCGGAAAGCTGTCAAATAACAACATGCTGGATTGGACGTAGCGTGGCCAATCTGGTGTTTCATTAAGACAAAACAAACACACTGGGAGCGTTCGCACTATGGTGGTGTGTAATTGACAGGAAATGACGTGTATTGATGACGTATCGTGAATACGCAACAGATGCGTACAAGAGCTTTTGTTGATGCTTAAAGGGCAGCTGAAAGTGACGGATTACATTGGACAAATACCACTTTCGCAATTCCAACAATTGCCATACAAACTCCTTTTTTATTTATTTTTGATCCCGTGAGAAATTTATTTTAAATTATTTAATTGTGAAACAATATTAGCTATGTGGTTTACTTTGATTGGTTCAAAGGGTAATTCAATCTATGTTGTACAATCAGTGTATGAAGATTGTGTTGCCTTGGCTACCGAACTATAGGGCAGTAGTTGTCCAGCAGTACGCGTTAAAATGTTGTGTGAGCAAGCAAAGAAATAAAGTGTATATTTCGAATGGGACCCACATCGGACATGACGTCCACTACCTTTTAAGGTTATCAAGAAAATACATTTTCAGCAATATATAATGTGGAAAATTCTTGTTATTATTGATCAAAGTTTTATTATGTTTGTTGCACTGTAAATTATTCAAGCACGTTAAAGTACTTTTACTCCTAGCGTGACATTATTATCTAAACTTTGAATTAAACAATTCAGCATTCCCCCCCCCCCATGATTATATAGTTTTGCAGACTAGTCCAACACTATAGTGATTGTTATTTGTTCGTGGACACAGTGCACCATCACGTATTACGTGACTATCTATCGCCGACTTTCGTGATGTTGGCTCCTTGTACGGGATTCGCCGGACGGTTACGAACAACACGACAGTTTGTTTCTGAGTGTGTCCGTAGTGGTGGGGTGGAGTGTTAATTATACTAAAAGAATCGATCATCGTGTAAGTCAGCCTTCATTCCCAAACTCGATAAAAAAAAATTCACTTGTGAATCTAACAGTGAATTTCGAAAAAAATAGGATGACATTGCGACAGAAATACGACATCATTAAAAAAAATATGAAAATATTTTTGCATATATCTTTATTAAGTGCATCCCGTGGAAGTGTAAGCAGTGCCAACAAGCACACTGATACTACAACAGTACAGAGTATAGAGTACTCGTGCACAGATTGGCGTATTGTAATTACAACGAACACCGCGCCAGCTGTCACGCGGGGATTAACGAACAGACAAAAAATCAGGAAAAAATATATTCTTTCCGTCAGCATCCATCACCAGTCCAGCCACGGTACTGCCCCACACGTGGCACTATCACAGAGACACTGCATTGGAAACAACCAACCCGTGTAGTCCACTTTTTTTTTCATTCCTATCAGCCACAAGATGATTTTTAGGAAGTTTCTCCGGACGATTCATTATAAAGCCGTTTTTGCTGGCGGGTTGTTGTTTATTTTAATATTATTACTAGTAAGAACCGACGATTCATCGTCCAACAGAGGGCTATTATCAGCCAATTTTCTCGGAGGTAAGTAGAAATATATTTATTTCACATTTATTTAATTATAACTTGAGATGTTACAAAGTGGACGACATTAGAAAAACCGCGTTAGAGGGGCGATATTCCAAAGAAAAATTGTAACAAGTGTCCGAATAAACAGATTCGACCTCTCAACCCTCGAATATGTAAATCGCATGAATACAGTGTTTGAGTACTTTGTAATGTGCTGAAAATCACGTTTTGATATTTTTGTCTACCACGGACACGTAGTACACGATGATATTTCAATACTACCTAACCCTATATTATGTGTCTACGAACACGTAGAATTTAATAAAATTGAATTTTCGACATACTTGTGTGAGAAAGATACGCGCATTAGATATCCAATCTACACGAATTCATGGCACAAAGTTGTTAACAAGAATTTCCATATTTATCACAATATTATTTTTCACGATCGGGTGAAACTAACCACTGATATATAACTTTCAGCTGACCAGTACACGTATGTGAACACTCAGTAACACGCTGGTGGCCATTGATGAGACTCCTATATCACTGAACTGACCTCCCTTGTCGCTATTGCAGTATACGGAATCAGTGATTTCACGCATTGCTGTTGTATTCCAAACTGTAGTTTTTCAAATTCATCTGCTTTGAAGTTTGGACACAAGTGCTTTTAGAATTTGTGGTATTTTAACTTTTATATTTGTATTCCACGGAAAACTGGGGCATGCACACAAAGTCAAGTTGACAATATTAATTATCACAAAAAAAGAGAAAAAAATCATTGTTTTTATAATATATTTTTTCTTGTTGTAGATGGTAAGTGTTCGGTGAGGTTTGCCGGTCTCCACGAGCGCCCCTTGGTTGCGTTGACCAGTTTTCCTGGCTCAGGCAACATTTGGGTACGACACCTAATAGAAAGGGCAACTGGCATTTACACTGGAAACTGTAGACCAGATAAAGAACTTTTCAAAGAAGGTAAGATTAAATAAATTAAACCGACATACGCATACAAACATCCGCAAACGCACACTATACATATACATAGTCTATGTACGTGGCAAGCAGTGGCAAGTGGAGTCAATATTCCGTTTTTTATTCAGTGCCATATTTGTGTACGCGTCATCAGCCTGTGACCTAAATAGAGATTGTAAACATTGTTTATAATGTTACGTGGACGAATTGCTGTCACATATTCCAATACTTGATCCAATAAAAAATGTGTTTAATTTATCACATACACATATTTAAATATAACATTTTGCCCCCAGTACAAATTGATATTTCAATATTTTTATTGATTTCGGCTTGATTTGGTCTATTTAAGAAAAAAATCGAATGTTTGGCTACAGTAGCTTCAAAGCAGGATTAGTCAATACAAAATACAACCCCCAAATATATTCAAATATTGATTAAAATACAAATTAATAATGTTGGTGAACTGTGCCACCACCCGTCGCAGGTAGCAACGTCACATCCTGGCCATTACACCACAAATCCCCGTAAGCTGATTGGGGATATTATAGATACAACATGGCGCTGTAAATGCTAACATTCTATAACAAAAAGACAAATTGTTACAGTAATACAGCATGCATGGTACGATTGTATCCCAGGATATTTGACATTACGTTCTGTCTATAGACGTTATTTTCCGTGATCGCTGAGATACACCGGGTTTCATGAATGTGCGAATTTGTTTAATTTACATTTATAAATATTTATACAATTTTATCCCTAAAGATCATCGCGCCTCATTCAAATCCAAAGAAAATGTTTTCATTGGCTCTAGAGACCAGTTGGTTACGCCCTTTACCCATGAATCTTTGCGGGGTTTCATCAATAATTGACCGCTTTACTGTCATGAACGCAAAATACAGATTCCATCAAATTTGTTTGAAACCAATTTAAATTAATGACAGCACAAGTTGTATCATTATTTCTTTGCACGGAACGTTAAGTTGCGAAAGGGAGTCAGTGTCAAAGAAGAGGTTAAAGGTTATCTCACCTTAGAGGAGTTATGAAATTATAAACAGCATTTTGTAGTATTTTAAATAGATCACATTCACGCCTTCGTGAAACCTAGTGTATACTAGTATTTTAAATAGATCACATTCACGCCTTTGTGAAACCTAGTGTATATATTGTTCAACAAAATAATTATAACTGACGTACTTTTGTTTTGTATTTTTTCATAAATGGTACGCTGATTTTATACAGTTTTTAACCTCTAAGTAGCCTTTGCTGCCAACACCGTATTGACAACGGATTATACGTAACATGTTGCAGCCATGTCAGTTGCCGGGATTTATTCACAAGTGATTTATTTCATAGAGTACAAATATAAAATAAGAGCTCATAAGCAAGAAAAACATGTCTGATAATTTGTTTCGAATGCGCGTGCGTTTATTTTTAAACGTTATTTTCATGAAAATTGAATTTTAATTTTCGTTTCTGACAAAAACTGTTTAAAAAACGTTCATACTCATGTCATGTTTTGCCTGTTTGACGTAAACATCGATCTTAGAGCCAATGACGTAACTATGTTTAACTTTTCGGTATTTCTATTATTTTCAGGGTTCGTGGGGGAAATTGAACACTGGAGAAAGGGCAAAACTATTGTGGCTAAAACGCACGGATACGAAGAAGGTCACATCGCCGAATTCCAGGCCGCCATACTCATTGTTCGGAACCCATACAAAGCGTTGATTGCCGAAAGAAGCCGTAAACACGCTGGTATGCACTCATATCCAACTCAAGGAAGTTTCTCAGGACCAGGTAAAAAAATTATTATGCGTTATTTGCCATTTATGTGCTGGTGTTTTCGTAAGTATAATATAAAATATACACGCACGGATTGTTTGTCAAGGATTTAATGTGTTCCATACTCTGGCGAAAATTGAGGGCTAGGCAATTGTTTCTACTGAGGTGGCTACGCTAGAATAAGAAATAACCTACTAGTACATGAGGGAAGGCTCGGGGCCTACATTTAAAGGGTGGTAGTCGTCGTGCTGCGCATGTGCGACATTTGTGTTGATAAACATTGATTTTCCCACAATCCAATGCGCTCTCCTAATGGAAATCACAAGTCTGAGGTTTGACCTGGGCGTGACTTGCTCTAATTACCGCCTATGACTTATTCGATACCTTCCAACTGCTTCCAATCACCTAAACAATACCTAATTAAAGTTGGAAACGTCGCAGTTGTGCTCGTTGATCTGTGCAACAGTCAAAGTCTCCATCTTTGTTTTACATGAGACCCATACATCTCGCGCATGCGTGGCCCGACGACCACTGTTACTTCACGCAGCAAACTAACAGCATAATTTGCCCAGTCACGCTCACGTACAGGATGCATCATGGTCTAACCCTTCTCTATAATCCTGTTACAATTTTGTTGTTGTAACAGTAAAATAGCATAACACATGATGTGTCAATCTCTCTATTCCAGAATGGGAAAAACACGTGGCATGGAACGCTATCTACTGGGAGAGGATCATGAGTAACTGGTTACAGAGCAGTATCTCTCACATCGTCATCTATTATGAAGATATCAGACAAGACCCAATAGTAGAACTAGAAAAGATGACTGATTTTCTCAACACGACTCTATCGGATAGACTGGACTGTGTGAAGAAGGATTTAGAAGGTCGTTTTCATCGCTCCGGTGACGAGGATTTGGGCTATGACCCCTTCACCCCAGAAATGCATGCGGATATTGACCAGCGAATTGGACGCGTCAACGCCGTTCTTCAAAGCAAAGGCATGAAACCAGTTTATACAGCGTAAATACGTCAACACTCCGAGAACAAAGCCTCGCCCATCAGTACTGGGCATCTATCACCGAAAGTTCTACATTGGCCTGTATTTTAAAAAAGAAGCACACGAAAGGACATGTTATAGACAGCCTGGCAATGAATAAACCACTGGGCTTGCCGTTTTTTGTGCTCGAATTGTGTTTATACAGTGATGCCAGGTCTTGGAAGAAAATTTGTACATAACCAATTATTATTTGCTAATTTTACAAAGACTGGGTTGTTCACGGTACACACAATATGAGTGGGTGGGTGGGTGTTATTCTACCTATGGGTATAGAATTGTTCATAGCGATATAGTCACGGGTGACTTTTGCATACACAAAAAAAAACATTCCACAACAATGTGTTTAATTTCACGATGTTCTTTTATTTATAACGGATTTAGAATGGTGATGGAAACCATTGCACGTATAAACGATTCCTGTTGTTTGGTGGCGCTGTTCAACACGTCTCACTCTGGACTCAGAGCGCCACCATACAGGTAAAACTGCCAATTAAAATTCTACACGCAAACAAATACAATAAGACAGCAGTATAATCATGATATTTTGCCCCTGGTTTAACATTTTATTGCCACTATGACGTCATTCTCGTCTGTTACACATTCTGATTTAAATTTGATAACATATATTAAGTTATGTTTATATATTGAAGTATTTGTAGTGACGTCATTATATGAACAAAAAAATCATTTTTTTTTAATTATTAGTCAGCTACTTTATAGTAATACAATATTTGTATTTAATGATAGTAGACTTCAGATTGTGGAATTGAATAGAGCTATATACAAGAAACAACACACATTGTATTAAAGAAATATATAAAACTCACGTGACGTTTAAGTAATAACTTTGTGTGTTGTATAGTGTTGAAAGTGCGTTGACATGTATATGTCCTTTAAAGCGAATGTGTGGGAATTATAGGCATGGGTTGGAGAATCGGTTGTTATGGGTTACGGTTAGAAACGGGGTTATAAAGTTACATTTCAAAGACTAGCATTTCCGGGTTTTTTCCAGAATTTGTACACTTTTTGTTCAGATAATCGGGTTAACAGCGTGAAATTTACTACTCACTGATATTATGTTTCCCGAATAATCCACTAAACATTCACAACCCAATTAGTATAGTATGACCAAACAGCTACTGTGAAAGTACGAGGATTGACAATCATACAAATTGACTGATTGCCTGCCTGAAGTTTCCTGCAGTAAACCCTCAATGTAAAAACGCAATAATGGTGTCTGTTTTCCGGTCGACTAAAATGCCCCATCAGTTGTCCATTTGAAAGAAGTGGAATCTATCAGTCGTTTCGACGCAAACCGTCTATAAACATGGAGATTGAACACACGTGGGTAGAGTGACTTGGTTTTGAGATACCGTTCTATACAGTAACTTGGCAATGGGTCGTATTCAATGTCGAACTTACTGGCGAACAAATGTGGCTGCTTGATTAACCATGGCAGGTCCCCAGCCCCAAATATACATACATCGTTGACCATTTTACCCAAACAGAAAGCCGAGTTGTGCCATATTTTGGCTCTTGAGATAGCCATCGCGTTGTGATTGAAACCCCCCGGTGCTTCGGAAAGACGATTCAGAGTTTGATAGAAGTGTTCATCCGGGCAACTAGTATCTGAGAGCCAATCAAACAGCTGGTGTGAAATCTCGCTACTCTGGACAAACTGGACGAAGTTTCGCGAGAGCGAGTAATTCGGTTCTCCTTTATAGATGGTTAGATTCCTTGGCGGTGAGCGCTTTCTGATGTCACTCGTTTCCACGTGTTCTTTTGTTTGTTTAAAGGCGTACTCCTGTCTGAATGCGAAATTATTGTCACGAAAACTTGCAATGTCATTCATACCTTCGAAAACCTTTAGAATCTGAACTATTTCAAAGTTCGTCTTGAGTGGAAAGTCAAGTTCCGACAAATTTATTAAGTATTTCCAGCCATGTTCTCGTTCGAGAAGTTCTTTCATGCACATTCTTTCAGCCACCAACACTTGGGCAGAACACCAAGAAACTTTAGAGGGCCGAGGAACAACAAACACGTTTCCAAAGCAGTTGGTGATACTTTGTACAGCGTTATGAATATCCAAATCAGATTTTGCATCTACATGAATGCAATAAATATTATGTGGTCGATATATCGTGCGTAAAAGTTGCTCCATTTGCGCAACAGATCTGTATACCAAAATGGAAAACGCCAGCGGAAACTCTTTCTCCTGCTTATTGACCAAACCTCTAAAATATCCATGATTGTCACGAAATTCACGACAATTTTTAGTGAGTTCACCGAATTTAACATCGGGTATTTGTTCTTGTTGCAATCGCTTCTTGAACTGGAGGGCCTTTGGAGTGCGATCCCACATTTCCCTGGTCATCGCACCTCTGCACGTTTTATCTGCTTCAGTCTCATTCAGATTTGGTCGCCTGGGAGGTAGAAAAAACGACGTTTTGGACTTATCCTTCGAATCGTGCTTGTTCTTCATCCTAGCTACGTGGATTCCACCTTCGTCTCCGACGCAGTTTGCAAAATTTGACACCGAACACATTTTGCTTTTGTGGCGGGCAGTATATATGAATAGGTTTACTATCAAACAGAAAGTCACGATCGCAATGACTATCACCCTCTTCCGGTACATCTTCAATCTATATTTCCTTAACATTTGGGAACTTCCTTATGTTGAGTACACTCTAGACAACACTTCACCGCGAATTTCTTCTGAAAAGTACAAAATTGAATTTCGTGTACCTGCCTGTGGAGAGACATACACTGGTTTTGTTAGTAAGGCCAATGCCTATCGACCCATAGTATACATTGCAAGTAACTATCAACAGGTTGCTCATTAGAAATCTTGGAGGCTGGAGAATTTTTCCCTGCTAATATTGTGATATGTTTTTCCTTCGTTTAACAAAATCCTCCAGTCCATCAACCAGTTTTCATAACAATAATATTTAGTAAATTACATAATAGAACCTGATGGAATTCTTATCAGATGTACTCACCGATTAATATTTGGAGAAAACAATATTTGAAGGTACCACATGTATCTCAGTCCCCCACTCCACCACAAATACGCTATGAGTGATGATGCGACCGAGCAGTGGACACAAATCAGTCAACCCAACTTGATATTTGAAACTATGATGTGCCAATTAATTCAGTGTACGGTTCGAGGCATGATGCCCTCGTTGCGCAGTGATCTGACTTACCGACCACGAATGCGCGGTCAGTGCACGTGCGGTCCGCCAGTGGATCCCAATAGTTGAACCGTACCACAATTTGCGGAACTGTGCGAGGATTGCCTGCGTCCTTGTGTTTTTTGTTTTGATGAAACAAACATATTCATGAATGAATCGATTGGAGGGGCGGATTCAGGAGACTCAGTTGGAGATCTTTACAATTACTTCATTGTCGCATTGCATTGTGGTATATACGTGCAAGAGGATGACGGGTTTAATAAAAGAGGCACACACACACATTCCCAACCAAATCAGCCACTGAATTGCCTGACTAACTAATATAACTGTACAGTTAGACTCCATTTACGCGTTTTCGCGATATGTCACGTGTGAAGTCGTCGGCGGTGAATGTAGGCCGCGTTTGCGTAACCAAGGACCGTCCATGACGTAACCACCAGCTGTTCAATACATACACAAATTTCCATTGCAACAGCGTTTCGTAGCTCCTTTTTTCTTCCATCTGTTACCAATGATTGACAATAGATGAAGTTAATGATGATCTCGTTATACTGGAGACAGAGGGAGCGAATGAAAAAAAACAACGAAATTTGGCTATATCGCGAAATAAATTAACAGACGTTTTATTCTGCAAGTAAATGTAACATTTACACAATAATGCGTCATCTCAAAAAATAACTTATTGACATCCGCAATGTTACAGTCTTACACGGCGTGCCTTGTTTTGTATTTTTAACTGACTGCCAAAAATATAATTTAGTGCACGATGAGTTTCCATGGAAACAAAATACAAATAGAATTTCACATGGAGTTCTGAATTTGTAGTGCCTTAAACCATATACGTTAGAACGTAATTATTTTTAAGCATCGTTGGACGATCGGGTTGAGGCAATATTTCAAAAAACAAACAAAATTCTACATTGCTTCAATTCATCCGTATTGCGATTTCTGAAAGACAACACGACCCTAACAGCGCACGTAGTTATGTTACAGCCTCGTACTTTTTTTTTCAATAAAAATATTATTTAGCTACCATGTTAAATGTAAGCACACTATTATAATAACATTTTTATAATTTTGGCAAGTGTGGATTACAGTTTTACATGGCTAGCGCACCCACGCGTATACATCTTGCGTGAGAACAAACACAGAGCGTGTGACAGTGTGACAGTAAATCACCGCACATTACATAGAACGGCATCATAAGATATATCGATTTTATTTACTAACTACGTGTTTTATAAATAAATATATTATGGGCCGGATAGTTCTTAGTTTTATTTAATTTTAATTTTATATTATTAAATATTAAAATCTTTGACATTGACTAGTGATATTATGTGCATAGACGCTGGTGACGTCATACATGTTTTATAACTATATATTTTTATAAATCAAAATTCGAATTGAACAATCCCGAAAAAATATGGCGAAATTATCGAGAGCTCTAATTTATTAATTACTAACTCATTATTAATGAATTAGTTCAATCATTTTGAATAAATGGGCGGTCAAAGTTGCAATGTCATTTCAAGGCTGTCACGCTTTATGGGCGTAAACTATGTGGAGCTCTAGGGCGAATAATTCAATATTTGAATTTTAATGAAAGTTGATGATCGGTATTTACAGATTGTTATAAATATGTTTTAAAACTAAGGTACAGCTTTGTGCCATTCACTGTATCGATCTTGACAGGGGGGGGGCAAGGGGGTACTAGCTGATACAGGTTACAGGAAATAATTACGGCATTTTACGTTTTTACAGAAAATAAAATGAAAATTCCATTTACAATAAAAAAAATAGGTTTTTACACATATAAAGCAAATACACACAGATAAATACAGATTACGCAAATTCCTAATTACATTTTACGTTTTCATAATATTTTTTTGAAAATTTGAGTTTACAAATCAAAATTGGAAATTACGACATTTAATTTGGAAAATGCTTTACACGCTTACAAAAATTAATATCTTTGTACAAATTACGGACGAATAAAATAGCTGATTACATTTTACAACTTGCACGTGTCTAAGAATTTACGTTTTTTATTTATTTAAATTACATTATTACGAAACTAAAAACAATTGATTACAGCTTACGAAAATACCCCTTGCCAACCCTCTTGACATACCTCATTGAAGGCATGTGGTCCCAGTGGTGCATGGGGGGGGGGGGGTATGCTCACCAACCTCGACCTTACGACCGCGATGCTCCTCTTTAACAATTTGAAAATCTAGACTCTCTGAAACTCTATTCCTGCATTTTGAGAGGAAAATTTTGCTGACACAAAGGGTTTCAGCTTGATTTTTGAGAGGGGTGACGCCCCCAACATGGGGGGGGGGCATATTTAACATAACAGGAACTGTGAGTTAAGACAATTACAGTATCTGAAATACCGCTGTTGAATTTAATGTCAACTCTACTATGACAAATTAGAGCAATCTTGAGCACCTTTTTAAAATAAGTCACTGATTTACTTATTAACAAAACTATTTCGTATAGACAACTTTACCATTGCATCCAGCCTTTGTTTAAATTGTTTAGTTGTGGCAATATAGTTAGAACCTAAATCGTATCTTTATGGCACAAAATCAGAGAATTTATAACCGAAAAATGTCATTCTTTATATACCTCTCTATCCAAACAAAGAAATTATGGTTTCAGAAGTTGCATCTAAACTGGTCTACATCATTGACGTATTTGGCATGATGTAAAAAAATGACGAAAAACATGCACCTCCACGTCAGACCTACTCTTAACACCTCGTTCGCCAACCTGGCTAATAAACAAAGCCTTTCTGTCAGTACTCCTCTTCATACATAGTTCACCCACCTGGCCATAAAATAAGCCTATATGGCCTGTGTTTTACTATCAGTAAATGCTGCTTTTCAAACACACAAAAACACAAGAATCACATATAATTATTTACTCTTTACAGAAGATGATAAAAAATACAATACAAATATAAAAATTCTGTATAAAATCTATCTACAATATACCTGCAAGTTTGTTAATAATTTATGAATTCTAGAGTTCAATGTTTGTTAAGTTTTGTAAGTTTTCTAAAATAACTTAATTACATAATGCATCTTTAAATATTAGTTTTAGGTACAATTACAACCAAAAACATAAAAGCATGTCCATTGCATAGATGCTGGAAGTCTGGAGATATTATGTACTGTTTGTGTGTTTGTTATTTCATTGCTATGTATCATATTAGTGACAGCACACATCATAGGAATTACCGTGCAAGGAGTCAACCAGTTGATGCAGACACCACAAATAGCTCTGCCTTCTTTGGTGGACATGACCAGCATTCACAAAGTCGACACATACAAGAAATGGTCCACTATTGTGTCCTTGGTTGTTTATGTTGAGAAAATTTGAGCAGAATCTATAAGATTCAAATTGTAGAATGTTATAAACTTCAAAAACAGTTTTATTCATGTCAGTATATTCTGCTCTATCACCATCTCTTTACAAGACACCAAAACAATATCGATCAGGATTCTGATTCAAACTCATTCTGAACATAATTTGCATAAAAAAGAAGAAATGGCAGTATCTGACAACAGAGGGCGATGTTGTTTCGAGACCACTGCTTAGTTGGGTCACAGTTACTAACTGTATATCCATGCACTGTTATAGCAAAATATATTTTTATAAAATATACCGTAAAAAAAACCCCAGAAAATATAGCACAAATATAAAATATATATATATAAAAAGAATCTAGAAGAATAACAGAAAATGGTGACAGTATAGTTTACTACACAAGAAAATATGAAATACTACAGTATTAATAATAGGAAATTATGTTCTGAAGGAAAAACAATAATTAGAAACATAGAAATGAATATATGCTAAATAAAATAAATAATCCAGCAGCTGTATTCAAAATATCAACCATGTAAGCTAAGGCATTTACTCAAGTATGTAGATTTGTAAAAGAGAATATATATATATATATATATATATATATATATATATATATATATATATATATATATCTTCAACAAATCTAACAAGCATAGTTTATGTTTATTCAGTGTGTGTGTGTATTCAAACTACGATTGATTAAAGCCATGCAGTCATGTGACATGAATCCTGACGAATCATGGGAAAAACCCTCATTTGAAGATTGAAAAAAAACAGGTTAAATTAGATGAAATGGAAAAGAAAAAATATAAATAATAATGATGAAAAATATTACCAAGACCTTCATGAAACTTTTTGTCATGTAATATTTCATTTGTAAATGCTTATTTTTTTCACATTCTAGAATATCATAATTACTGGCAAAACCTTGATAATTGGTCAGTATTAAAATGATTCATGACATCACAGTTGGACGCTACACGATTGGTCAGGAGTGAAATGATCTATGACATCACGGTTGGATGCTAAATGATTGGTCAGTATTAAAATGATCTATGACATCACAGCTAGACGCTACACGATTGGTCAGGAGTGAAATGATCTATGACATCACGGTTGGATGCTAAATGATTGGTCAGTATTAAAATGATCTATGACATCACAGCTAGATGCTACACAATTGGTCAGGAATGGAATGATCTATGACATCACGGTTGGATGCTAAATGATTGGTCAGTATTAAAATGATCTATGACATCACAGCTAGACGCTACACAATTGGTCAGGAATGGAATGATCTATGACATCACGGTTGGATGCTAAATGATTGGTCAGTATTAAAATGATCTATGACATCACAGCTGGACGCTACATGATTGGTCAGGAGTGGAATGATCTATGACATCACAGCTGGACGCTACATGATTGGTCAGGAGTGGAATGATCTATGACATCACGGTTGGGGGCTACATGATTGGACAGTATTAAAATGATCTATTACATCACAATTGGATGCTACATGATTGGTCAGGAGTGGAATGATCTATGACATCACGGTTGGGGGCTACATGATTGGTCAGGAGTGGAATGATCTATGACATCACAGTTGGGGCTACATGATTGGACAGTATTAAAATGATCTATTACATCACAATTGGATGCTACATGATTGGTCAGGAGTGGAATGATCCATTACATCACAATTGGATGCTACATGATTGGTCAGGAGTGGAATGATCTATGACATCACAGTTGGGGCTACATGATTGGACAGTATTAAAATGATCTATTACATCACAGCTGGACGCTACATGATTGGTCAGGAGTGGAATGATCTATGACATCACGGTTGGGGGCTACATGATTGGACAGTATTAAAATGATCTATTACATCACAATTGGATGCTACATGATTGGTCAGGAGTGGAATGATCTATGACATCACAGTTGGGGCTACACTCATCCATCTTGTACAGCAGACAATGGAGTTTGAATTAAAAAAAAAAAAAAAATATTCAAAATGGTATGTTGAATTTCTTGGCAGTCAACAACAATAATACTGGTAACATCTAGTATGCAGTAGTTAATCTGAAAAAAAAAAAAAAAAAAATATCAAAAGAATCAAGCAAATAATTGTCACAGGCTTTGTAGTGATTGGTGATATTGGAATATTTTGAACAAAGTACAATACATTTTTAATTGATACATTACTTAAAACATACTGAAGATGTAGGCCCATGCTCGACTAAGCACCTAACCCCTACTTTTTACCATTTCTATTTACAAAGTCACATTCTACTAAGTGCCCATCCCTTCCAAAATGCCCCAAATTTGACTTTCTAGTCATACAACCTGGTTATTTGTTTGTTTGACATTACAAAATATCGGTAATCAAAATTGTATACTATAGCATTGACTGCCATGAATATGGTTTGAATGCATAAACTACGCTTCGACAATAATCTGCTAACAACCATGAAAAGCAGTAAATACTTTATTCCACATTCAATTTATATACATTTGACAACAGAGATAATGAGGAAAATCTTGACATTGACTGTTTTTCCACAGACCCTATTAATTTTTAAATCATAAAATCTGATGGTATGTAAATAATATTGGAATAAAGCGTATTTTTTGTGACCATTTCTGTTTCTTCATTGTAATTTTGCAATTTTATTTTCCCCAAATATTGTGGCACAAAATATGGTGAACTAAAATTGTCATTTGTTTAATTTGTTGAGGGGGTGCTTGACTAACCTCCCATGGCACTTAGTCGGATGAGTAAGGTAGCAATGTATACATTGTCAGAAAGCTGTGATGTTGAGACATTTTTGCTCATTTCTGCAAATTAGCTATACCTTGAATCATTAGAAAATCACTGGGTAGCAAATTTAGCTATAAATTGAATCAATGAAATCACCGGGTAGCTAAATTACATTGTAGCTGTAACTTGAATCAATGGAATCACTGGGTAGCTAAGTTAGCTATAACTCGAATCAATGGAATCACTGGGTAGCTAAATTAGCTATACACTGAATCAATGAAATCACTGTGTAGCTAAATTAGCTATACATTGAATCAATGAAATCACTGGGTAGCTAAGTTTGCTATACATTGAATCAATGAAATCACTGGGTAGCTAAATTAGCTACACATTGAATCAATGAAATCACTGTGTAGCTAAATTAGCTATACGTTGAATCAATGAAATCACTGGGTAGCTAAGTTAGCTATACGTTGAATCAATGAAATCACTGGGTAGCTAAGTTAGCTATAAATTGAATCAATGAAATCACTGTGTAGCTAAATTAGCTATACGTTGAATCAATGAAATCACTGGGTAGCTAAGTTAGCTATACATTGAATCAATGAAATCACCGGGTAGCTAAGTTAGCTATACATTGAAATCACTGGGTAGCTAAGTTAGCTATACATTGAATCAATGAAATCACTGGGTAGCTAAGTTAGCTATAACTTGAATCAATGAAATCACTGGGTAGCTAAGTTAGCTATACATTGAATCAATGAAATCACTGGGTAGCTAAATTAGCTATACATTGAATCAATGAAATCACTGTGTAGCTAAGTTAGCTATACATTGAATCAATGAAATCACTGTGTAGCTAAGTTAGCTATACATTGAATCAATGAAATCACTGGGTAGCTAAATTAGCTATACATTGCATCAATGAAATCACTGTGTAGCTAAGTTAGCTATACATTGAATCAATGAAATCACTGGGTAGCTAAATTAGCTATACATTGAATCAATGAAATCACTGTGTAGCTAAATTAGCTATACATTGAATCAATGAAATCACTGGGTAGCTAAGTTAGCTATACATTCAATCAATGAAATCACTGGGTAGCCAAATTAGCTATATATTGAATCAATGAAATCACTGTGTAGCTAAGTTAGCTATACATTGAATCAATGAAATCACTGGGTAGCTAAGTTAGCTATACATTGAATCAATGAAATCACTGGGTAGCCAAATTAGCTAAACATTGAATCAATGAAATCACTGTGTAGCAAAGTTAGCCATACATTGAATCAATGAAATCACTGTGTAGCTAAATTAGCTATACATTGAATCAGAGTAGCTAAATTAGCCAAACTGTGTAACTAAATTACATTGTAGCTATAACTTGAATCAATGAAATCACTGGGTAGCTAAGTTAGCTATACATTGAATCAATGGAATCACTGGGTAGCTAAATTAGCTATACATTGAATTAGAGTAGCTAAATTAGCCAAATTGCCATGCTAACTAAACAGGCATGTTTTACAATGTAAAAATGAGAGATAGAACCACATACTTTCACCAGTCAAATCATGATATACTAGCATTAGGTCAGTTTTAACTTGACAGGACGCAGACATCCTGTTGTATATGCCTTAACATAACTCTCTCTGTCTTTAACGAAATCTATCTTATTTATCATCCCAATAACACCTTCAAGAATCTGAAAAAAATAGGAATTAGAAAAAAATTAGTAATCATTAGCAATAAGTTTGCAGATAGATAATTTGATATGGTAACATAAACATAGAGACACTAGTATAAGTTTCAACCTGGAAATTCAGGGGTAGGCATGATTTTTTAAGCAAGACAGTGTTAAACAAATATTGAGGTGGTTATACTTATTCATGTATAAAAGAGCAGATAATGAACATGTAACATATTTATCTGAAACATCACCCACCACAAAAGCTCATTCATGGACGATGTTTCAGCGCCTAGGCAATGTTTTGGTATCACAAAAACAAATAAATACCGTAAAAACACATCCCCAGGTTTGTATTTCAAGCATGCACACAGAAACATTGTACATCAAACAAAATTGGACTACCACACATGCATGCAGGTCCAGACTGCAAACATGCAAACTTTTTGACAGTTAAGCGCAGAAGGTACAGCCAACAGACATTTTTCAAATTACACCTTGCTCTGAACTTTCACTCAAGGGTTAGACAAAAAGATCAAAACCCCTTGTACTCGGTAAAATGAAAAACAAAATCAAACATTTTATCAGTGTCTGAGTATATTCTCACACAGAATAAATAAAATAGTATTAATTACAATTTGTTACTTATATCAGACAGCAGTCAACCTTCTAAGTACTGATCAATATGCAAATAGGTTTTTGATGTACATGAATTTGTAACAATGTATTTGATTTCATCAGAATTTACAAGGATTTGTTTCTTCATTTTTTGTGTACAAACGCAGACATACAGACAGATAAACAGACTAACACCATTATTAAACTTAAAACAGTAGAAGACACATACATAAAGAGTGAAGAGAATAGAAGCCAAACAAAATCATATCACAATACCTTGGAGCTTGTGACCTAAAAATGAACCTTTCAGCAAATATTTGGGTTTATGATTGATTCACAATTGATTCAGTTCTGAAAAGGTGTACTAATTTTGGTGACATTAATACCGATGTGTGTAATAAGTGTGAAAAGGTAATGTACAGTGTATCGATTCAGGAATACTACAATAATTGCTATTTTATATTTATTAACGAGTATTCTATTTCCTGAAAGTGACACAAATATACCTTGAAAAATTTGTGAATTTTAATGCAAATTATACTGTTTTTAACAGTAGATACAGGAATCAGCATATGACAAACCATTGAGTGCAGACAATATGAATAAACATTTTTTATGTAAATTTCTTCCCCAACAAATCCATTGATTGTCCATGATGCTTTGCAGGTGAAGTTTTATTCAGCCTATTCATACCAGCAGATCATATCAACTCCTTCACATTTAAAAACAAAAATAAATGAAAAAATCTCCCATAAACGTTTGTATCACGCAGCACTGTGAAGAGGCCTTAATACGCTTTCAGTTACTAAACTCCTACAGTAGTTCGGTCTCTCAGCTGAGGTGGACAGGACATGGACGTGCAGGAGCAACCAAAATACGGGACACTGCAGTAAGTAACAATTATTTTATTTTTTAAAAAATGGGATCAAAGAAAAATAGGGAAAGGGGGGATGGTCACTGCTTGACACTGAATGAGTTTGGCATAGGATTGTATGGAAAGATTTGGTATGTAAACATATTCACTGACTTTGAATAGTACAGAGCAAAGTTATATATAAATCACCAAACTAAAAAGTGCTTTATTTTATTGATGAAATCAATACTTTTAAATATGTTTAAGCGCATACTTGCAGAATTGACAAGGGGGTCAATGTTATTGTCTACCAATTCCTGCACAAAATAATGCTGAATAAATTATATCACAAAAACCATAGGTGCACAATATTGCCCTATTTCAGGTATCAAATGATAGAATTGAAATCTATAACTGCTAAGTTCACAACTGTTCCCAGGTTCCAGCCACAAAGGCTTCTACCATTATGCGTTCTATATAGTGTTAATAGCTGGACGTCCTGGCAGTTCAAGTTACTGGTCTCAACCTTTTCACCACCAGTTTCCTCTTTTCATCACAAATTCACAAAATAGTCCTGTTTATAGTCTGCATTCTCCTTCAGAAGATTGGAGGGGAAAAAAACAAATTTTTTGAGCAAAAACTGAAAATTTACTCAAATTTTGTCTGTTGGCTCCAAAATTCAGGTTCATTGATGACTACAAAAAAAATAGCAGAAAAATTTGATCGAAAAAGTTTGGTGGTGAAAAAGTTAAGAGAGCAAATGTCAACAAAAGATTTCTATCAAAAAAACTTGAGTGATTTATTTTTGTTTTGCATTACAAAAACAAAAAAAATGTTTTCTGATCATCAGTAAGGTACAAACAATATAGTATTATTGTTTTACAGAATTAATATTTATTAAAATACCTAGAAATTTATCAGGAGACTTGTACACCCTTAAAAATACACAAGTTAATAAAATCCAGTATGTTCACACAATAACAGTGAAATGTGCCAACATGTTACACAGCACAGTCATTTTAGCACCAACTTGAATATATTAACGTTAATGATAGTCTTAATATCTATTAATTTTTAAATATAGAGAGGGAATTTAGATTAATTACATGCTAATCACACCCTCATGGCGTTCTTATGGGGTGACCTCATCATGACTGTATGCAATGCAGCTGCAACATCTTTAAAAAAAAAAAAAAAATAACAGAATGAACCATAAACAACCTATAAATCCATTTCTACGTTACAAATACAACTCAAATTAATCAATATTTTAAATTTCATCTACATTACACTTTTAGATACTATTCTGAGCTGTGCTGTTTTAAATATATTCTAAAAATATATAAAACAAAGCGGATTATTTAAATTCAGTTTTAGTAAAAACACATCACCACACCCAAAATCTCCTGTCAAATTATTTCAAATTTACAAATATATTTTACAGAAATAGAAATTAAACATTTTTTTCTGAAAGTACTGTGGCAAAACAATTAGTCAAGCAATGAAGAAAAAGTAAAATATGAAATGGTGAAATATTTTCATATCATTCAATTTAAAAACATACTGTATTTTTAGCACTAGATAAATACCTTTGGTGTATAAGTAGTTGTACTGGTAGTTCACAGCTTTCAAACACTTATATACGTCATAACGCAAATGTCATATTTACATATTTTTGTAATATTTATTGCAAACCACTTTAGTTTTGCAACTCTGGGACAATCTCCAAATGTTACATTACCCAGGTAGTTACTTTTTATGTAAATGATCTTAAACAGTCAAAACATCAAAGCCAAAGAATTAATGCAACAGTGGGAAATGTTGACAACAATTTATTGGTGGGAAAAATTTCAAATCACGCTGGGAGAGGGGAAGAAAAAATCCAACTACCAGCAGCACTTCAGAAGGGGTTGGGACAATCCATGTCACATGGGATGGAAAATCCTTGAAGTAATAACTCAAGAAAGGAAGAAACAACTGCTCTCAGAAACAGGGGAGGTATTATGTCATGTATAGTAAGAGAGGGAACTTGGCAATCCCTGTTTAATACACAATGCCTTAGGAGAAGGCATTCAATTCCCTGTCACGCAGAGCACTCAAATAGAAGGTTACTTCAATTGTAGAAGACATAGTTTAGAAATGTGCAGTTAAAATAGAATAAAACATCAAGCATTTTGGAAAAGAATCTGTGGCAGTGCTACTATTTTTGGTATATTTCAGATTTCCTTTGACTTTGCAGTTTGCATGTACCAAAGATCACTGCATACAATTGAGATAGGGATACCAAAACTGGTCTAATTTCATTTAATTTGTTGATGCCTAAATTGGAAGTTCCAATCCCTCTTGATTAGACCACATCACTGTCTGGATTTGATTGCTAATAGTTATCATATTAATGGATGAATTCAGCCATGCGAGATAATATACAAATGATATTACTTAGTAGCACCTGGATAATGTCAATAGATTATACATGAATAATATCTTATTCACTCTATTAGAAGTGCAACTCCAATAGAAGCGAATTTTAACCAAAAATTGCATTTATTGTATACTACCGGTAAATTATTAAAATGTGACTTTGACGATAGAAAACACCTTTGTAATTTATGTGAACATATGCACTACTTTAAAATAAAATAAATTAGATTAGAAAACATGCTGTTACTGTATATCTAGTGAGTACATGTAGAGAATGAGAATTTTGTGGATTGAGAGGAAATAATGAAGAATTCTAAATATTAATATATAATTTATAAACTTCTAGATTGTTGGAATTTTAACACATGTGATAAAAATATTTACAATATCAAGTTTACCGGTATTATTTAATATTTAATGATACGATTGCTTACACCTGATATACGTTGAACTGAACTCCGCAGTGTAACTCGCATCATCCAGTTCGACTTTGAGGGCCAGGCCAGACTGAAGGTCTTGTAGAAATGTAGCCTTTATGATATCAAATACTGTAAAGGGGGTAATTATTCACTGGGTTTTAATTTTGCTCATTTCGCTGACTTGAAAATGCGTTAAATTAAAACCCAGTGAATATGTAAAATTTAGCATAGAACACATTATCTAAATGGTAAATCAGCGAAATTTAAACCCAGTGAAAATTAGTCATTTTACAGTATATCGAATGCTGTAGTACATTCAGTGTCATAAGAGCATGAATGTATTTTATATAAAATATTTTATGTTTTTTATGATGATTGTAAACAACTTGATCAATTACCATTGTGAATGTATAACCACAATATAAATACTGTTAACCATTCAATTTTTACTGCTACTGTGAAATACTTCATTTTAGCTGGAATAAATTTTTTCTGAAAAGACATTTTAGATGTTTTGTATAAAGTTTATTTTCAATGATTTTTGATGAGGTGAATGTACAACATAGGAAGAAGGGCATTTTCACTGGAGTTTTTTTCACTGTCACTGAGAGCCCATGTTTTACAACCCCAGAAAAATTTTCACTGCTACAAATGTCTGCACTTTTCACTGAATTTGTGAAAAATCTATGGCAGTAAATCAACCAATGGTTGAGAGAAACCCACAAATACTCATAAGCCAATAAAATGATTGAATGTTAAATATTTTTCAAATTTCCATAGAAAGCAGTCATGCCTATATAAGCCAGCAAATTTAACTGTGTATAAATATAATATTTTTGTTTCCAAGCAACACAGAATGGATTCTATACATAATGTTGTACCTACCTTTTGACTGAGTGCATCTCTGTCATTTCGTAGGTTGAAGTATTTTTCATGTTGTGCCTTCACCATGTTTATCCTATTTACTTCAATTTTTTCTAATTCCTGAAAAAAAATTTAGATGTAGATTTTCATTACTATTAACTGTATTTTATATTAAAAGTACAACTTGCAGTCTTTCATTTGCATATTTTCAGTCTGAACAGTCTTTCATTTGCATATTTTCAGTCTGAACAGTCTTTCATTTGCATATTTTCAGTCTGAACAGTACTTCATTTGCATATTTTCAGTCTGAACAGTCCTTCATTTGCATATTTTCAGTCTGAACAGTCTCCATTTGCATATTTTCAGTTTCAATACTGTTTGAATACTCATTTGCATATTTTCAGTCTGAACAGTCTTTCATTTGCATATTTTCAGTCTGAACAGTCTTTAATTTGCATATTTTCAGTCTGAACAGTCTTTCATTTACATATTTTCGGTCTGAACAGTCTTTCATTTGCATATTGTCAGTCTGAACAGTACTTTATTTGCATATTTTCAGTCTGAACCGTACTTCATTTGCATATTTTCAGTCTGAACAGTCCTTCATTTGCATATTTTCAGTCTGAACAGTCTTCCATTTGCATATTTTCAGTTTCAATACTGTTTCAATACTCATTTGCATATTTTCAGTCTGAACAGTCTTTCATTTGCATATTTTCAGTCTGAACAGTCTTTCATTTGCATATTTTCAGTCTGAACAGTCCCTCATTTGCATATTTTCAGTCTGAACAGTACTTCATTTGCATATTTTCAGTTTGAATACTGTTTCATTTGCATATTTTCAGTTTGAACAGTCCTTCATTCGCATATTTTCAGTCTGAACAGTCTTTCATTTGCATATTTTCAGTCTGAACAGTCTTTCATTTGCATATTTTCAGTCTGAACAGTCTTTCATTTGCATATTGTCAGTCTGAACAGTACTTTATTTGCATATTTTCAGTCTGAACAGTACTTCATTTGCATATTTTCAGTCTGAACAGTCCTTCATTTGCATATTTTCAGTCTGAACAGTCTTCCATTTGCATATTTTCAGTTTCAATACTGTTTGAATACTCATTTGCATATTTTCATTCTGAACAGTCTTTCATTTGCATATTTTCAGTCTGAACAGTCTTTCATTTGCATATTTTCAGTTTGAACAGTACTTCATTTGCATATTTTCAGTTTGAATACTGTTTCATTTGCATATTTTCAGTTTGAACAGTCCTTCATTTGCATATTTTCAGTCTGAACAGTCTTTCATTTGCATATTTTCAGTCTGACCACTGTCCTTTATTTACATAATTGTTTTATTAATTTTAAAATGGTAGCCTGGTTACCTTCTTTGGCAAGTCTTTCGGCTTTCTACTTAACAGTCCATATCAATTAATTCCAACATTAGAGACAAAAACTAGACAACATTTCCATACTGTTATGGAGATGGCCAAAAAAAATAACCATGCAGGCTATAAAATGGTGGCGCTATCATTGTATAATTTTCTAGATAATCACATCTTTATAACCTTAATAAACCCTAACTGTTTATGGCTTTTGTTGACCAATAAAAATATTGCTTTCATAAACACTATGGCTGAACTACAAGACTGCGAGACACAATTTAAACAGTGGATTATTTTCAAACAGAAATAATGTTTTTTTTTATATTTAGGTTTTGCTAGATATTACAGAGTACCATATAAATATAATGAAATTATTTCATTGTTCTAAATTGGTTTCAAGTGTCTGATTTTGACAAAAAAATATACCAGCATTTCCATATACTTTATGACCTAGATCATGTATGATATTACGTGGTGTGGTCAATCATCTCTGAATTCCAACAATGAGGGCGTAGTTCTAACTGAGGAGAAACCCAGAATAACTGTAAAATACTTTATTTTAGCTGGAATTAATTTTCGCTGAAAAGATATTGTGGGAGTTTTTTGTATGAAATTTATTTTCACTGATTTTTGACAAGTTGAATGTAAAATATAGGAAAATAGGTATATATGCTGGATTTTATTTTTACTGAATCATTTTTTGAGTGAAAATAGCGAAAAATTAATTCCAAGCGAAAATACAGTACATTTCTGAGGCTAACTACCAGGGACTAGCCTTAACTAGTATAATTTATTGAACTTTATACTTACAATAGTGAATGTAATCATATCTTGAAACCATTGATCTTGGGTTGTGTTATATGCATCTATGTTTTTACTTAATTCATCACCTACAAAACAAAATAATAATTGGTAATTCAAACAATGCTACCACATGAATTTTGTGCATCTGAACTCATTAACATAATGACTAAAATGTAAAATACTTTTTAGTTTCACGATTTTTGTTGAAGGGATGTTTCAGTGAAAATAAAGCGAATATAGTTTTATCCTATATTTTACATTCAACTCCAAATAAAATCCATACAAATCACCATACTTTCTGGCGAAATTAATTCAAGCTAAAATAATGTATTTTACAATATGTATTTTACATTTCAGTGAATTATAAAATGTTCATTCATTACTGCTGGCAATTTACAATACTACTGTACAAACAAACTAACATCTGTTATGGTTGCTATAGTAACTGTAAACTTGTTGTAAGATAAAGTTTCAGGTGGCATACCTGATTGGACTGTCTTCTTTTTAGCTTTTTCAAATTCAGCCTAGAAACAAGAAAGCCAAAAAATATTATTAATATTAAACAGTTAGTCAAAACATTTTTTATTATTAATTTACGATAGGATTTGGTGCTCAGCACCATGCAGTGCAATGTACATTTCTAGTTTGATTTGTTAATTTCATATCTGTGTGCATATTTTAGCAAATAAGCCCAAATTGCAGGATGGATCCTCAAGGCATAGAGTGGTGGCATTATTAACACTATAGTTTATAGGGGTTATGTGTGAAAAAAGTTATTTAAAAAAGCAGGGAAAGTCTGAGTTTGAAATGGAAATTAATTTATGTTAAACTTACCTTTGTTGCTGTTGGACTAGATTGTTTTATTTCAAGGTCTTTTTTGCGGTCTTCTAATTTCTGTTTTGATTTTTCTATTGCTTGCATCTTATTTGCTAACTGCTTTCTCTCGTCTGTCATTTGTTGTTCCATCTGAAAAATGCAGAAAGAAGCGACATGACAAAAGCAGTGGAGATGAGTGGAGACATGGGAGCTAGCAGACATACATGTAGGGGTGGGTGCAGGAAAGGAAGAGGTATTAATAACATTCTTTACCAAGGCTACTATTTCTCTTGACGACTGTTAAATGTAGAAGAAATCAAATATTGCATCCCCTCACTTTTTTAACACCTCAATGTTTCAAAATCTTCAGAATATAAAATATGATTTCCATCAGCTAAGAAAAGTGCAATTTACTGACTTAAAAAAAGTTCTGCTTCAAGAGAGATGCTATTGGAAAGTCACACAAAAATCCACACATACAATATACAACATTTTGAAAACAATTCTGACATGAAAAATGATAGACAAATAACAATATTTTAGGGATATACATTGTAGTCATAGCAACATCATCTTGTAAGCATTCAACTCAAGATTGAGTGAAGTAAGGAAAAAAATTTGCACAGCTATTCTACATCTCCCCACCCTCAGTTTGTATTGGTCAAACCCTTCATCAGTCTCTTAATAACTGGGAACACTGCACTGCAATTCTCTAGACAGTATTTCAAAACAAGTCATGAGTTTGGCCATGCATGGCCAGACAGTTCAGACATTATTATTACAAAAAACAAAATAGAAGTATGTTACATACAATGTAACATGTCAACAGCTGTAAACAAAATTTTACTGACAATGCAGCCATAATTACTATATTTTTGAAATTTTCAGAATTTAATACACTCACAGAGACAACATTTCACAAAAGTCACTGACATTCTGTGTTGTAGGACCCAAATACAATTTTCACTGCTACAAATTTTGAAAAAATTGTCTCGTGTGAAATTAAAACAGTATTTATTATTTTCCTATATTGTATTTTTTCCATTAGAAGTACATTTCTAATACAAGTGTATGTAACCAAAAACTCACAACTTACAAATCTCAATATTTAAATACATCAAGAATTATACGCAGTCAGGATAATGACCAGTGAGTTGGTAAAACAAAACACTATAGTGGTATTGTCACATTATTTGTATCATATGGAGAGAATACTGCATCTTGTAAATCATAAATAAAATTGTAGTTTTAAGATTCATTGAGACAGATGCCCAAAAGTTGACTAATGTTTATCTACAGTGTGTTAATTATTACCCATTCCTGATTGATGAATCACTGGGTTTTATATTTTATTGTTATCTATTGGTATTTAATATAAAAGAAAATTTAAAGTGGAATGATTTAAATGTACAGTCATTTGTACAACGTTTTGTTAAATATAAATAAAAACTGAAAAAGAAAAATACAACAATCTGTTATAATTTGTTTTAAATATTTAAATCAAATTTTTTTTTTTTCCCAAATTGCAATGAGAATCCTGCATTGAGATGGGTGGAGCAAGGTCAAAGGTTACCATGAACAAAGTTGTGTGATACATGGTGTTTATCATAGAAGACCCCCTAAGTAGGCAGTTATTTGAAAAGCAGTAAAACCAACTTGTCATTCCATCTGTTTGGAGATTCACAAGAAACCTAAAGTTCTACCATGTTTTAATCCACACATTCTGCCAGCAATTTCTGGTAATTTTGAAAACCATTGTGAAGTGTGCAACATATATAAATACTTGTAACACTCCTAATCTACGAATTGGGTCTAAGTCTATAACGAAAACCCTTTTCAGGAGACAAGGCAGCCAAGAGATAACAGCAACTCACAGTTGTATACACTGCCCCCAGTGTTGCTGTAAGGTCATTAAAGACACCCCAGCTCTCTGTTACAAGTACTAACTATTGACAGGGATAGACTCAAGGGATCATACACCATGGTATGTAAAATCCAATGTTTTCTGCAGTACCATAAATAAACACAGAAAACTACAGGAGGAAGTAGTAATAGTATAAAACACAACTGAGGGAAATATTAGAACAGTCAAAAGTGGAAAAAAAAGCTATCAGAGGATTGCAAAGCTACAGAATTTACAAAAACAAAACCAGTGTGAGGCAGAAAAACTTAAGAAAAAAAGCAAATGAATTGATAGAGAGTTCAAATGGAGAAGATGCTATTGCAAATTATAATGAAACTGCCAGGATGGAATTAAAAGATGCAGCATTGTACATGGATGAGTGGAAATATCACCATGGCAACACTCTGTAAACCATGTTAATTTAGTGTCACAGGTTTGTATTACGCAATTCTATGGGAGGAACCATCCTAATGTCTGAAAACAGCAAATTTACTGACACCAAATGTACCATCACAAAGACTGACACAAGAAGCTTTAAAATGGATGCCATTTGGCCATCTTGAAATAGATGCATCTATGTGACATGACATGAAATGTGTATAAAATTTGAACATGATCAATCAAGACAAGTCAGAGATGTGGCTCATTTATTGCAAAGAATATGGCCACCTATCTGCCATTTTCAATATGACCTGAAAAACAACATGGCCAATGTACCGGGGTATGTATAATTTTTGAAGAATAAAACAAACAAAAAATCACCTTTTTCATTTCTTTTTTAAGTACATCTTTATATGCCAGTAATGGTTTTTCTACTTCTTCTCTTAACTTTGTAGCAAACTGACGATGTATTTCAGCTTCTTCTGACAGACTTAGTTTAATTCTATTCCATGATTCCTTCACTGTTCTAATATGAGACAAAAAAAATCGAAACAAATTTACCAAATTTTTCTTCAGTCTTACGGTACTCTGAAATCAGACAAAATATATCAATTGGACTTTTTATGATGATATTTCAAGATTGTTTATGGTTACGATCCTGGCACACGTAGCCTAGCTTTATTGAATTATACATTCACTACCCATATTTTTCTTTTGCTATTGCGATTTTTATCTTAACCATAATAAATAATGCAGAAACAGGTTAGAATTTAAATGTACAACAATATCATGCTAAATGCATGCCTTATCTTACCCTTCTTCCCTTGCTCCAAACTGACTTTGTGATAGTTTTAGTAAGCTTTTTGCATACATTTCTTCAATTGCAGCCCTGTAACAACAATAAATGTACATTTATTGGACATCATATGTCCACTGTTGAAAAACTTGACAACATGACATTTAGCATTTGTAAAAGGTAATTATGTGAACAATTTATCTACCATAAAGTTCTATAAGTACATATTAATGATTTTTAATGGCAGACATGATATTCAACAAAACAAGTAGAAATAATCACAGGCTTAATATGGCTCAGTATGGTTCCTCAGTTTTCTACAAATTTCAAAAGATTTCATTCACATTCATTCTTTCATGTTTCAATGGTCTTACCTTTCTTTGAAAAGCTCAGCCATTTCTTTAGATACTATTTTGCCAAGATGGTGTTTATTGTGTAGAATACTGAACCCACTTTGGTCTTCTCTATCAGCCTGGTCAAGGAAAACAACAAAAATGTCAAACAATTGATGCTGTTAAAAATTACTTTTACAAACTATGAAATAATGCGGATATAAATTTGTATTTTATTTTGAAAAGCACCATCAATAGGAAATATTCAAATGAGCATTATAATTCATAATTCTTATAGGTAAAGATTTGCCTCTCTTTACATTTTTGGATTAGTCTACAGAATGCTGATATGAGGGGGGTTGGGTTCCACATTCTGTAAAACATGTTTAAATAGCTACATGTCATTTTTTGTTAATTTGATGGATTAGTAAATTATTAATTTAACTAAGGTGTCAACAATCTCATTGGGAAAATATTCTTTATTTTAAAGCGAGAGAGAGTCGTCACCTGTGCATGCGTGGGAATTGAATCCCAAGTGGTGATAACAACACATGCTAAAACGCAAAGGCTCATGGTAATATGCTTGTTTGTAAACAATGACACGCTATGGCCATCTGACACATGCGCAGGTGACGACTCCCCCGCTTTAAATTAGGGACATCTTGAATTAGTGAAATTACAGATTAGCTCAATTAGCTAAAATAACATGCTAGCCAAAATGGCATGTTTTACAGTACATTGACATCAAATACCAAAACTGTTTTAGCTATCATATACTTTCTGTCAGTTTAGATTACACAAGTTCCCCCACAGTGACACACAAGTGCTGGTTACATTTAAACAAGCAGC